ATTATGCGGCTCTAGAAAATGTGTCATACGCTGAGGCACGATCAAAACTTGGAATCTCCTCTCGTCTTTTCCCCCTTTCCTCTTCATCTGTTCATCCCCTCAATGATTTCCCCCTCTTGTCTCCCCCTTCCCGCTCACCCCGTTCCTTTTCCCGTTTTCCCCCGAGTGGCGCACCGCCACTTTACTATGACATCAATCCGTATGACATCCTTGGAAATATTCCAGAATTTGGCGCTTCCCCGACAAATAATGTTTCACCATCCTACAGCGATAAGGCCCGATCCGCTACTTACGCCAGTATCCCCACCGCACAATATAAAGCTCATGGCATGTCACGTCACACAGCAACTTCCTCCTCCTCTTCCTCCTTCTCCTCAAAATAACCCCTTTTACGACCTTCGCTTGGCACATAATGCCTTGCCTTATAGCTCCCTCCGGGAGACGGATTGATACTTCGGTGAACGACTACCCTTCCCCTCGTCCCTCCCATCACTACTCATCTGTTTACTCTCCCGCGCACCCCTCTCCCACCCAGCCTTCCCCAACCATCTCCCCTACCTCTTCTGAGAATGCTCTTTCCCACTCGGAATTAGTTAACTTCATAAGTTTAATCTCGAGTTTATTACTGAGAGTAATGAACAGTATTCCGCCCGATCATAGTCACCTCTCCTTAAGTAAAGGGCTGCGTCAAATCCAAGGAAGCCTCGCCGATTTTATTAAGAAAATATAACATGGCAGTCAACTTTTAGTAAGGATAAAGATCTTTCTCGTAATCAACTTTTCCAAATCACTTACTGGAACTGACGGGGTGCTTGCTCTAAGAAACCGGAGATTGAAAGGTTGACGGAAGATGTTGATGTCTTTATATTAGCGGAAACTTGTTTGAACCCGAATCATTCCTTCTCGATCCGCGGTTTTGATTGCATACGTTTTGACTCATCCTCTAATGACACTAGAGGCCTCTTTATTCTTATTCGAAAATCGATTTTGTACTCGACTATTGAGCCACTATCGAACTTATTACTTTCTATAGAAATTCTAGCCATCAAGATTGTCTCGGGAGATCATTCCATTGCGATTATAGGGGCTTACCGTCATCTCAACGTATCGCTCACAAAAGAAACCATTAATTAGTTTTCCCTTTTCATGAGCCAATTTTCTATATGCATTCTTACTGGCGACTTCAATACTCATCATCCCCTCTGGGGCTCTATCAGAACTAATTCAGCGGGCACCCTTTTAGGGAACCTGGCAGTATCTCTTAATCTCATTTGCTTAAATCCGGATTCCTCTCCTACCTTCATCCCTCCTCCATTTAAATCCCCCTCCACTATCGATTTGGTCGTTACCTCTCCCGACCTTGCTCCACTATGTCGCGTTCAGATTGGAAACGACCTATATGGCAGCGACCATTTTCCTATCTGTATCACTCTTAATGAAAGAGTCAGATCTGCTAATATCTTCTCTCATAGACTTCGTCTATCTCATTTACAGTGGAAGTGCGTGGCTGCCAAATTGGAGGAAAAAGCTCCCTCTATTGTCGAGGAAGTCTACCATCTCTCTTTTCATTTCTCCGATAGTAGACTATTAAACTCAAGGCATCATGTCGTGCATGTACAAGGGTTTTTCTTCCAAGAACAGTGAGCATAACACCTACCTCAACCAAAGGGATTGCTCCTCGAGAGGTCCGCCGCCGGCTCCTTGGTGGGCCACGCAATGCGATGAGGTCATCCGTGAGCGCGCCACTGCTTTAAAAAATTACAAGCAAGTCCCTACCACCGAAAATTACATTGCTTACCAAGAGACTGTCCGCCGTACTCGTAAGACTCTTCGCAAGACTAAACGCAAGAGATGGAAGGACTTCTGTGGGGAATTGAATCACCTTACACCCTCTGCTGATCTATGGAAGATGATTAAGCGTTTCAAGAATCGCCGCCTTGCGTTGGGAGGCCCGGCTTTGTCGGATAACGATTCGGACCTCAACGGAAAACTTCAGTCTATAATTGATCAATTCTGCCCTTCCTCTTGCTCCCCCCACCACCTTTAATTCCGGCTACCACGGATAACAATCTTACTTGGCTCTACCCCTTTTCTTTGAATGAGATCAGAGCGGCACTGAACTCTGTCAGATTATCGTGGAATCCTGGTATGGACCGTATAGAATATCGCCTTCTCAAAATTTTCCCGAAAAATCTTTCCTGCTTACTATCAATCCTAAATCTCTTGTTCTCATCTTCTTCATTTCCTGCTCAATGGTCTATTGTGCATCTTATTCCTAAGGCTCACCGCTCGGGGTTTCGACCCATCTCCCTTATTTCGTGCGTGCTCAAGATCATGGAGCGCATGATACTCAATAGAATGTACTGGCTTTTCGAATCTCCCTCATCCCCCCTCCCCTTCTTTCTTCCGGACAACCAATTTGGTTTCTGGAAATCTAGATCATGTCAAGATAACCTAACTAACCTTATCACTCATATCCACACTAGTTTTCTTAAAAAACAGGACACTATTGCGCAGTCTTTATCGACATTAAGTCCGTCTTCGATAATGTGCTTCCGCATATCTTAATCCAAGATCTTATCTCCTTGGGTTTTCCTTCCCTTATCATTCACTTCATACACAACCTTATCTCGTCACGAAATATTCAATTTGTGATACAGGGCTCACTTTCTTCTTTCTGTTTCCCACAAAGGAACCCGCAAGGTTCAGTCCTTAGCTCCACTCTCTTTAATATATATCTGAGGGAGAGATCAACAACGCTCTACATCAGAACATCTACCTTCTGCAATTCGCCGATGACATTGTAATCTTCGCTTCTGACTTAGATCTTGTGGCCTCGCTTCATTCAATCCAGCAATCGCTTTCGAATCAACAGTTCTTGGGGGATAGGGGACTCGATATTTCTCCTAAGAAGACTCAGCTCATGATCTTTCAAAAAAACGGTTATGTACTTTCAAGAACCTTAGTATTACAGTTCATGATACAACTATTACTCCTTCATCTGGTGTTAGATTTCTCGGAGTCAACCTTGAGCTATCCGGTACAAAACATATGGATTTTATTATCGCAAAAGGAAAGTATCAATTCAGTTATCTCTGCGCTTCGGGATACGTGGTGGGGAGCCGACCCCAACTTCCTCTTAAACATCTACAAATCTATGGTACGTGCCTCCTTTGAGTACGCTTCGCTTATTTTCGCTCTGGATAACACATTTGCTGACAAACTACAGCGCATTCAAAATCAGGCGATTCGATCTGCTTGCGGTTATCGCAACTCCACTCCAATTAATGTTATGCTTGCGGAGACCAAAGAACCGCTCCTCAAGCAAAGATTTGAATTTCTGTCAGCCAAATATTTTCTCAAGATCATCTCGGTGCAGGACCATCCGGTGACTCTCAAACTTCTTGAACTGCATGATATGACGCGAAATCCTGCTGATAGCAATTATCTTGGTGCCCACTTCCCTGCCGCTCTCGTATTTATACGTATGTGGTCTCATAAGAACATTCTATATATTTCACCCTCCCTCCCCGCCTTCCATAATTCCTTCACCTCTACTGTCACGAATATATCCTATCTTACTCTCCCTTCTCCTATCCTTAAAAATCTTGATGCCTTCACTCCACACCAATTACAATTCGCTTTTGAAGAATCCTTCAGCACTCAACTCAAGGATGCGACAGTTTTTTATACTGATGGATCGAAAATGGACGACAGTACCTACGTTGGCTCGGCGGTTTATTCCCCACAACTAAACTTGTAATTTATGAGCAAATTCTCATCATACGCAACAATTTTCATCGCTGAAGCTTGGGCCATCTATAATGCTCTTCTCTTTGCCTTACATAATGGAATTACAAACACTGTTATTGTTACTGACTGCAAGAGTGTTCTTGATATTCTTTCTGGATTCCGTAATCAAACTAACAGCTATACAGTGTATAATCGTATACACTAGAGCCCTCGTCGAAGAGGCGAAGTTTAACAATATACATATCTCATTCATATGGATTCCCTCACATCGTGACATTGAAGGGAATGAGAGAGCTGATTTGCTCGCTAGGAGAGCTGTTAGAGAGGGTGCTAACTCGGATTTTAGGATTCCATACTTGGATTTATTCGTCATACCGAAAAAGCATCTGGATAGTACATTTGAAGCCTACATTGAACGCTCTTCCATTACAAAGGGAGAATTTTTTTTTTCTTCCATTACACAGAGAGAATTTTTTTTCAAGAATTGTTACGACAGAAATAGAAGCAAACCTTGGTTTCACAACAAAAGGCTCTCCCGCAATATGATTACCACCATGAACCGCCTTAGAAGTAACCATTTTAACTTGAATCATAGTCTCTACCGAAAAAAACCTAATGAACCATCCTTCTTGTCCTTGCGGTGCCCCCCTCCAGGATTCATGTTATCTTTAATTGCCCTCTTACTGAAACTCACGCCCTTCCTTTGAGAACGGCCTTGCAAGATTATATTCATAATTCGATAGGATCCATACTCTTTCCTTATACTTGCGCTAAATGATCCTACTGCAAACATATGTCGCTTGTTTGTGAGCTTTGGACTCGCCTGTGATCGCTTACTGTAGTTTCATATTTCGCGGCGCTACCTCGCGGCTTTTGCTCGGCGCGCATGCGCCGGAGCGTGGCATTGATCCTTCTCCTTGTCCCAGCGGTCTTCTATTATTCCGCTTGCCTTTCCGTCGCGAGGATCGCGACCTCTTTAGGTCGTGATAACCGAGGCAATAATTTGTCTCACAGCGCCGAATTCATCTGGAGCCCCTTCAGTACATCAGTCCAGAAGAAAGGATTAGACGTGATCTGGCCGTATTGCTTCCGATTATAGTAAGGAGGCAGGAGCCATTAACTATTAAGAAAAAGAAGAAGAGAATTATTATTCTCTTCTTCTTCTTCTTAATAGTTAATTCGCAAACTCTAAATTTAGCAAACTCGCAAAAGAGAAAATGGTTAAAAACAATTAAAATAAAGGGTATTTACCACGAACACTCGATGTCTAATGGCGAACCTTCTTCCGAAGTCAATACTTAAAAATACATTCAATCAAAATTTCTAACATAATCATCAACTATAGACGTTTCGACCTCATATCGGGCCATCATCAGTATGTAACTAAAATTAACATACAATCCTTTACAATTAAATGTCGAGTATTCTTTTTTCGTTACATATCCATATAATCCGTTGTTTTTTTCCATACAATTTTCATGTTAACCGATATTATCTAATTGTTGTACTTGCACACATAATTTCCAGATTCTAATAATAATTAATGTTATAGTTAATCGTTATATATTTTAACTTATCTTATTCTAATTTTCATACCTGTGTATAAGAAGAACTTAGAGTATTTGATCTCATCAGTGGGTGACATGTTATGCGGGGTCTACAATAGAAGTAGCGGTCGTAGGGTCTTAAGTCGTAGAAAGTTGATCAATCACAATTGATTATTCTTCTCATATTCGACTGTGATTGGTCAATTTTCTACGACTTAAGACCCTACGACTGCTACGACTTCTATTGTAGACCCCGCATTACTGTTTCCAATTTTCTTTGTGTACTCTCTGATATTTGTCATGATATACTGCTTATAATACTTAATTTGTGAAGGAGAGAGTAAGATTGGTGTTAGGAAGGTATACTGAGCAACGGAAAGTAAGCCTCTGGTAATTTTTTTGTATCGCTTTGCTTATTTATCCCATTAATTTGTTTTTTTATGTAAATCATTTCTGACGTCGATCTTTTTTGGAAATAAGGTTCTAATATTTGAATGTTATTCCAATTAATTTTATGTTCGTTATTAATTTGATATTAGGATATTACTGTGAGCGCATCTTTAGATTTTTTTATATTTGATTTGTGTTCTTTGATTCTAATTTTTGCTTTTCTTTTTGTTTGTCCGACATACGAGGCATTGCAATCAAGGCAGTTTATTCTGTACACAACATCGCATTGATCCATTTTATCCAATTTGTCTTTACCTGATTTTATGAATCTATTTAGAGTGTTCATAGGTTTGTATGAAGCTTTGAAATTATTTTTTGAAGCTATATTATTAAATTTTTCAGAATTTTTATTTACAAATGGAATAGTAAAGTAATTCTTTCTATTGAGATCATTACATTCCATGTTAGTATTGTTTTTATATATATCTTTTCTAATGGATAGTCTTTTTATTCTATTGTTGATTGTAGAGAAAATAATGTCTAAGGGAAAACCATTCAATAGAAAAATGTCTATCATAAATGCGATGTTATTTTTATGGAAATCCGAATGCGACAAAAAAAGAATTCGATCCAGTTGGCCTATGATCACGCCTTTTTTATGTTGTTTTTACAAGTAACTAAGATATCTACCTGAGTTTGTGGGTTTTTTGTATAAATCAAATTTGATGCACCCATCTTTTACCATTATTTTCACGTCTAAAAAATTAATTGAGTTGTTTTCTCCGTGCTCTACTGTAAATTTTAGTCTATCATGACAAGAGTTAAAATTATCTAATATTTTGTTGATCTGATTGTTTGGAGCTGCCAATAAGATGTCATCCACGTAGCGATAATAAATTGGTATATTAATATTTATTTTGGAAAATATCTTTTCCTCTAAGTCTTGGATTACTAAATTTGCTAAAATTGGAGATAGCGGAGATCCCATGGGCATGCCAAAAATTTGTTTAAAAAATTTATTGTCAAATTTAAAATAAGTAGAGTTAACTATTAAGGAAATAGCGTTTATAAATTCGTTTTTTGGAATGTTGGTGTTATTTGAAATATCTATTCATCTCTTTTCAATGCTCTTTGTTATAAGATCAGTAGGAATGTTAGTATACATGGACACGATGTCAAAAGAAACTAATTTGTAATTCGGTTCTAATGTGTATTCATTTAAATTATTCACTAATTCAAAGCTATTTTTTAAGTCCCCAATTTCTTTTTTAGTACTTTTTCCAATAATTGTTTTTAAGAAGATTGTAAGTGGGTATTGTGAACTGTTTATGCAGCTAACAATTACTCTTAAGGGGTTCTCATCTTTATGGATCTTCGGCAACCCGTAGGGGTACCATCCCATCCGAAACATTTAATCTGTTATATTGTATTGATCTATGTATCCCTCTTTTTTTTCCATCTAGTCAACAAGATATGTGTTTGTTTTGTTATTATATTTAAAGGGTCTTTATTAATATGTGTATGTTTTTTTATCTGATAATATTTTATGCATTTTAGTGTAATATTCTCTTGAATCCATAATTACAGTCGATTTCCCTTTATCTGCTCGTGTAATTAAAATGTCCTGATGTTCTGATACGAATTGTTCTAATGATTTTATTCCTTCTTTTAATATATTGTTATCTGTATTGTCTATTTGCTTGTTATATTTAATTTTTTTTAAGGTTTGAATTGACTCATTTCTTATATTATTTTTTGTGTTACAGTCTGATTTACTAATGTTACTTTCTATATGTTTAATGCATTCTACGATTGTCTTTTCATTATTTCATTATTATTAATTATATTGAATTTTTGCCCTAGTTGTAATACTGTTTTTACATTATATGGTATTTCTACATTACTGAGATTAACAATCCAATCATTGTTAATTTCATCTAATTTAAATTTGTCATTAAATTCTCTAGGACTAATATTCGTATCGTATAGTGTTTCTTGTGTAGTTGTACATTCATTATGTTGAGTTATTTTTTTTGCTATTAGAAGGAATAATTCTAGATATGCTATTCGTGGATTTCGACCATAATAGTTTAAAATCTATCATTTTTATTTTTAATTTCTTCTGGTTTGCTGTGAATATTTTTAAGTTATTTAGTTTTTTTTGTATTCTGGTATTTTCTTTCTGCCATAGTTTATTGAAATTAATTTCTTGTCGACTAAAGAAAATGGTTAGTAATCAGTTGAAAATCTTCCAATGAAATAATAGCCTTTGTATCAAGCATAATCTTTCTTCGCTACTCTCTGTAATAATGGAATATGACATTTTGTGCATACAAGAGACTCTTCTTAAGAACAGTAACAGTATTGGTATCAAGGGGTTCGAAAATCAATACGGTCCGAAAAGACATAATCCAACCAGGAGACCGAGGCGTATGTATCTGTGGCGGTCTATTTGGCACCACATAAATTTCGAACGCTTGAACGGAGCAAACTTCATGTGAACGCATTTGTTTTTCAAGACCTACTTGAAGTGATTTGAAAAGAATTAATTTCTCAAGAGATTAATAGAAGCATTACGAGCATTTCGATAGATTTTCTCATATTTCGAAAACGTCCCGATCGGCTATAAAAGAGGATGAGCAACGACTCGATTTTTACTCTTGCAACATACGCGAGAGCCTCATCATTTTTGTGATATAACCGTGGAGTCTACCTCACATCAATCATGGATCATTCCCTGGTGGAAGAAATCTTCCTCAGCGAGATCCAGCGAGCCGTCGCAGATTCAAGAGGTTGCATCACCAAGGCGTGCAGCGGTAGCCGAGCAACCAGGAGAATCAACTTTCCTTACCATCACCTGGCAGCTTTATAAGGTGGAGAATTCGTCGCCGGTTCTCACAAGACCTCCTAGCTTCCTCCTGGCAAGAAACGACCCGAGGATTAGAAGACCTCTCTCTCCAAGCTACCCAGTACCATTGCAGCTCCTGTCTCCGCTGCCAAGGTCTCCAAGCGACTTCTCCTCAAAGGCAACACAGACCCAGTCGGTTTCCAGAGTTCACCGAGGGACACTGAGCAGACCAAAGATAGTCAGCAAGGAAACACAGAGCGACTTCGCATCGCAGAAAGGATCTTTCACCACCAGGAACACCACCAAGGTACACACTACCAGGCTCACCTCCAGGATCATACCACTTAGATCTCAGCCGCAAAAGACTTTGGGGACCGAAGCAGTTTACCAAGATTAAACTTTCCATCTCTTTTAGAAAGAAACTAATTTAGATTTTTTTATAAAAACGACCCTTTTCAAGGCCACATAATTTGTAAATATATAGTAAAACGATCCTTCTCAGGACCAATTAATTAAAAAGAAGTTAAAATAAATTTTATAAACGAACGCGCATAACAATTTCCTTCAGTGTCATTATAAGAGAAGATATAAAGTTTGAAGTTGTCACTCTCAAAGATATCAGTCATTCATCCATTGAACATCTTGCGCTCAAAGTTTACTGTTCGAATACAGACCCTATAGTCATTGTTATATAGTCAATATTTATAGACATCCGGGGCAAAATACTCCTACCTCGTTCTTCGAGTCTCTGTTTGACGAACTGCAGAACTATAAAAATTTCATTATTTTAGGAGATTTCAACGTCCATCACACCACTTGGAGATTCAGAAGACAGTCCATAACAGGGAAAAAATTCTATCGAGTTATGAGTGATTATGATCTGATACTACCTAATGGGAAAACTCCCACTTTTTTACGATCTTCATCGTCTATAACCTCAACCTCAACCTTGGACTTAGCATTGGCATCTCCTCACTTAGCGCCTCTTTGTGAGACAAAAGTAGAATCCGACACCTTTGGAAGCGATCATTTTCCAGTGATTACAACAATTGGTATTCAGGCTAGTCTCAGATCAAAATTTCAGTATAAACTACCTCTCTCAAAAAAGCTATGTCAAGCTCTTCACCATGAACTGCTCTCTTCAGTCGGGAATCTTCCTCAGCAAGTTAGCTATGACATTATAAGCTACTACAATAGGTTTACAAAAAATTTACTAGATGCGGCTAGATCCTTTCTTCTAAAAGGCAAACGACTCCCGCACACCTCAACAAAGATAAAAAAACTAGAGCTTGCTCCTTGGTGGAACGAATCATGTTCTGAAGCGGTACATAGTAAAAAGAAGGTTATCAGGAAATTTATCTCAATGCCCACTGAGAAAAATCACCTTAATCTTCGCAAAGCGCGCAAAGATTGCTCTGAAAAGCTTTCCAAGCAAAAACGCAAAGGATGGCATAATCTTGTGAACAGTTTTAACAACAAAACCCCTACTAGTCAGATCTGGACTCTAATCAAATGCTTCAAAAGAAAGGCGTCGCAGCACTGTTGCTCGTCCCAAGATGCTATGCAAACTTCCATGGAAGCAATCTCCAAATTATGCCCCCCGTCTTCGTATTATGATTGCTCTAAATCTCTCACAGATATGAAGGCTGAAGATAACCAAAGCTCAAACACATGCACATGGTTAGATGATTCCCTGATCTTAAAAAAATTTAGGAGTGTACTAGTATCATCTCGAAAAAATTCCGCCCCGGGGCTAGACCAAATCAGTTATGAGATGCTGGAACAATTACCCGTGGAATATGAAACATGTCTATTATTTATATTTAATGAAATTTTTTCTCAAGGTATTTTTCCGAACTCATGGAAGACCTCGCTGGTAATATTTATACGTAAGCCCGGTAGTAAGGCAGTCAGGCCTATCTCGCTCATGTCATGGATATGTAAACTGGAAAGAATTCTCTATCAAAGATTAAGCTGGTTTGTTGAATCCAGGCCAATCCTCCCTCAAGCGCAGGCGGGTTTTAGACTCTTTAGAGTGACGATAATTTGGCTACCTTGACTACAGCAATGAGAACTGGATTTCTAAGTCACTCCATCACAATAGCAGCATTTCTGGATATTACAGGTGCATTTGGTAATGTAGATCTGTTCATTCTTCTGGAAGATTTGAAGATAATAGGTGTCCCTGCGTATTTCAGAAAATTCATTGAAAATTTGATTAGCGTCAGATACATAAACTTTGTAATAGATGGCGAACTCCAAGGTCCATATCATACATACAAAGGCATCCCACAAGAATCCACCCTGAGCCCTTTATTGTTTGACATTTATCTCAGAAATCTGGACCAACAGCTGCATTCCGGTACTTGCTTTCTGCAATACGCAGATGATGTGATACTATATTCTACACACCGTGATCCAAAAATTGCCCTCGAATCTATTCAAATTTCTTTGGATAAGATATATGAATATCTCAAATACAGGAACTTGGAAATATCTCCTCTCAAATCCAGCTGGTTAGGTTAGGTTTTACGCAGAGCAATGCAGTTAAAACTTCAACAAATTTATTCATTAATGGAAACTTGGTTTCCAGAGTACATAAACACCGCTTTCTGGGAGTTGTTCTGGATCATAATCTCAAAGGGCACCATCTCAGATATCTGACGGAAAAGGGCAAAAAGATTTCTGGCATCATAGCGTCTCTATCGGGTATCGTCTGGGGCTCCCATCCCGGTCTCCTTCTTACTATTTACAGAGCCACATTTCGCAGCGCGGTAGAATATGGATGCCAATTCTTTACTTGAAGCTCATCTACATCAGATTTCATCAAGTTACAACGGTTGCAGTACAAAATAATCAGAAGAGCAATGGGATATCGCATATCGACACCAATCAACGTCATGTTAGCAGAAGCTAAAGAAATTAGTTTCAACATTAGACTTAATCTAAATGCCTCCAAATTTATTTTCAAGGTTATGGCCAGTAAATTTAGTCCAGTATATAACTCCCTAGAGGAAATGGAGATGGTAGCTACCAGAAGAAATCGCAGAATCGACGCCATCAAGGATTCCAAGCTTTTTAAATACTTTGTGACTAGCCGCAGCGAAAAAAGTATAGTTTATCGCTCTACATACCTCTCAGCATATTGGCATTCTTACGGAGAGCTTCTCCCTCAAAATGGAATACATTAAGGATATGCATTGTCACGCCTTTCCCCGGCGTCGATTAGCTGCGGAGCGCGCGCGGGAGCGCACTCCAGGGAACGGCGGATCAATCGGATCGGAGGGCCGGTGACGGCCTTCGTGCGGGAGGGTACCTCACGCGGTCGAGCGAGAATCGAGAGCCGCGACAAAGTTGGGCGCCAGACGTGCTTCCAAGCAGCATCGATTTCGCGAACGGGAACGCAAACCACACGGAAACCGCGAAGCTCCGTGAGCACCAAAGATCACCAAAAACCGAGAGCCGTTTCTCGCTCGCGTGAGGGCTGGTTAGCTCTACCTAACGGCAGAGGGGGAGGGTACGGGTAAGGGCCGGTTAACAGGAGTATGGACGGAATCTTCAAGGGCAGGGCGTTAACACAACTATCTCTACTAAGTAAATAATAAGCGTGTTTACTAGGCAGAAGCGAAGGATAGTACAATAACAGAAAGCATCGAGATAGCGGAAGAAAAAGATTATCGTTAGACAGAGAAAATTGACTCTAACGCAGCGGAACGATAGTTGCGCTATTGAACCGATCCGGCCATGCGGTCGGGCAGGCACGATAGCCGCGGAGAGAGCGATAGCGAGCGGCTAACTTAGTAAGCAAATTAAACAGGCCGACTCGGTGTCGGGATCTCGCGAATCGTCATGCACGCTCATGCACGCCGCTGAGCCGAAGATTCCGTTGCGGGGCTCGGCGGAAAGTTTTAAGAGTAAACTCTCTTCTCGGATGGCGTACCCACACGCCGACGCGACGCTCTAGTTCACAACCTTGAGGACAGACACAGAGTAACGGTAACCAATCTAACATACGCTCGCCCGTCCACGCACACACACACGCACCCACCGGTAATACGCGCGCGGAAAATACCCGCGATCGCCGAGCTCGCGCTTGCGATATCTAACGCGATAGCTCTTCCGCCTCGCAAAGGCCGCAATCTCCAGGGGGCTCATCCTCGCGACTCGACTTTATCCCCGATAGCCCCGTGTACGCGGGCCCGGGAGCCTCTCACTCTTGGCGCCGGCCACGCCACGTTACGTACCCGTAACACAAAGAAGGCGCCGCTTATGGCGGCCACCGCACCAACGCGAAATTCGCATGCCGACGACAGAACGCGAGAGTGGCCCTCCGCCCCGTTGCATGCGACTTTACAGTACCCGGTATCCACCCAAGGGGCAACCTCACCGATAGCCAGATCCTCCGACGATCCTTTCTCTCGGGGCCTCTCGCTCGTCCTTCTCCACATTTTGCCGGGCCGGGACGTCCGTTCGGTCGAGTAGCTTGAAGCGGAAGAGGACGAGCAGGATCGCGATCGATGCGCGATCAATCCGCGAGTTCCCCCCTACGGGGTTGCGCAGCCGCGTCGCGCGTTGCCGCGACCAATTAACGGGCTAGCGGTCCTTCGTGCGCAAGGACATGCGTGGCGACTTGCTACGGGGAGCCTTGCGGCCCCGAAAACCTTCGCGGGCGGGCCTCCCTTGCTGGTTGTCCCCGGTCGTCCGCGCCGATGTCGTGGCCGAGCGCATTGCCCCCACGTCAGCTCCTGCGGCTCGCCGGACGTTATTTGGCTCGGGATCCTTTTCTGCTCGTCGTGTGCCCCTCGCACCATCCTGGGGCTCGGGCGCCGCTAAATCCTTTGGCGGGGGAGGCCGCTGCTTCCTTCCATTGGCTGGAAGCGCTTGCCGGCTCCGCTCCGCCTGTCTCCGGCCCGTGGGATTCTTCCGTGGTTGTCTTCCCTCCGGTAGTTTCTTCGCTCGGCGAGGTTTTCGTAAAGGTTACATACGCAATAAATTCGCCGGGGATTAGAAAAAAAAATTAACTTAACGCTAATATACGACTCCCCGGGAGATTTCGCTCGCTCGCGCGTCCCGGCTCGGGTCAGGCGCGAATCCGCGCTTTGTGACGGCAAAGGGTCGCTGTGAAGCTGCAGCAAAACTGCAACATCACAGCATAGATGTGATGACAAAAAAGAATCCTAAAATTATAGTTGCAGATTTTTTTCATAGGTCTTTTTAGCATAGACAAAAAGCCATTTCTTTTTATACCGACGGTTCAAAGAACGCAGAAGGCGCCGTAGGAGCAATTGTTTTCTCACCGGATATGGAGGGTACTATTAAACATAAATTACCATTTGAAACCTCGATCTTTTCAGCTGAACTATGGACCATATATCAGGCCAGGTAATCGGTGATCTTGACATCTCAAAGGGCATTATATTCACGGATTCAGAAAGCGCGCTTGAAGCTCTTTGCAACTCCACAAAGGTGGAGTAATCATATAATCTATTCCATTAGACAATCTTACTACGACGTCATCAAGCAGGACAAAGAGGTAACACTTTTTTGGGTTCCGGCGCATGTTGGCATACCAGGCAATGAATCCGCTGACCAAACAGCTAAGTCGGCCGCAACAAAAGAATACAAACTATCTTTTAAGATCCCCTATGAGGACCTAATGGCAAAAGCGACCGCTCAGGCAAATGAGCAATCCAAAGAACAGATGAAACTAATCTCAGCTTCCAAGGACACACTTTACTAGGAACACTTTCATACCGTCTCCCAAAAAATATGGTTCCATAGAACCACCCTATCAAGGGAGGAAATCGTACTCATCAATCGCTTAAGATCTAATCATATAAACATTAATGAGAGTTTACATAGAGTCGAAATGCGTCTTCGGCCTGCCCTTGTAGGGATCCTTGTCAATCGATAAACTATCTCCTGTTGCGAGAAATTCAACCTAAATGTATCTCCCATACGGAACTATATTGCTATAAAGTTTCCCAACTCTCCCTAAATCTTTTCCCGGCCCTCAGTTCCCCTTCCCCTAAACTATGCCGCCTGCTCTTGGCTTACATGAAAGCCAACGAGCTCTTTTTTTAACTTCTTTTTTTGCTCCCTCCTTCTCTCCTTTGGCGCGTAGTTTACCGCCGGGGTGGCAACAGCCGTTTGGAAGCAAGGGGGGGGACAAACAAATTGATAGCATCTCCATCGGCGCGGCAACCTCTTCACGATTAATAACCAGCACCGCAGACCTCAATGGCCTAGTCTCAACCTATGGGTTGCCTGGCCAACACACAAAGAAAAAGAAGAAGAAGAATCACAGACAAATGTGAGAATAATCGATTGCGATTGATCAATTTCTTAAGGCTTACTACTCTATTGTGTTTGCGGGGTAAGGTAACCCTATATGATCCAGAGTGCTTAATACATTGATTACAGATCATTATACGGTGAATTTAACAGCATTAATAAATTGCAGATTATTCGTATGATTTGATTGCATCAGTTTACTGTTCAATTTATTTATTTGTCAGTCAGTCAGTTATAGATATTGGAATCAGCTATGTTCTACGTAGGTTTACTTATTGATCATGACGGAGACATTACCTCGGAGGCAATCATATAACGTGACAACGTTCATTGAAAAATGTGCGAATATTAAACGATTTGTCAATCGCCCTCACCATTAATGATTCAAGATTTAATTTTCTTTACGCATAAACTGTTTCCACATTTAGTTCTCCAACATACAGCTTAACTGTTCGTCGATGCCTTCATTATGAAAATATATCGAATAATGCCATGTTTGATGCCATGTTTCTTCAAGACGTTTAATGTACATTCGACAGTAGTTAAACATTCCATAAATGTTTGATAGTGGTTAAAAGTAGCTTAACAGACATTCGACAGTGGTTAAAAATGCTTTGATAGATGTTCTACAGTGGTTCAATAAATGTTTCATAGTGTTTCGAAAATGGTTCGACAGATATTTAACAATGGTTCGATAGCCAGATAGCCAAATCTGCCAAGATCATATATTACTATTTGTGTGCTATAGTGATCTCTTTTTCACATGTCATTTTCTAAATACACATGTACACGTATATCTTCAATACACGTTTAAAATGATCTCTAATAACTAGTTACTGTGCGTACGTGCGTGCGTGTGCGTGCGTGTGCGTGCGTACTTGCGCGAGCGAGTGCGTATCCGTCTTGGATTGCGTGTTTTATGTTTCGCTTAACTTTCTAACGTACCTATTCCAATTATAAATTTGAATATTGATATGTATAGCCTCTTTAATCAGACTGCTTTGTAACAGTATACCTTCTGCCATCGATAGATCTCCTGCCAGTAATGTCATTTCTGCATGTCTTTCTGTAGCAATGGGTAAATTCTGAAGACATAGTACAATTTCAATTATTTGAAACTATCTTAACAAATAAGTAAATATAAATAACATATAAATACGTAATGTAATTACCTTGATGTATTTAATATAATCTACTTTATCAAATCTACCAATAGCAGCATAAGCTTCTTCTGCAGTATATAATTCTCTGTTATCAGTCGTCATAACAGCCATGCAAGTCCATAATATCTCATTCTGATAACATAAAATATAAAATGATTACATGTTACATTAATTTTTCTAGAATAAGTAATAAAATTAATACAAAGAGACAACATGGATTGAAAGAGAAGCTATATACAAAATTTTCCACATTATCTTTCTCTTGGTTTTATTAAAATTTTCACAAAATAATAAATGTACATATATATTTTTTATAAGTTATAATTTAAAAAGTATAAGCTAATAAAAAAATTTTTTTTCATAACGTACATTTATTTGTGGTATTACAAAAATGCAGAAATAAAGATAACTATTATATAGCACAATTTCCTAGCTTGAAATTTTGAAAACAATATTTTTATTGAGTAAGAAATAGGTAAAAAAAAAGAGAACAAACTTAAGATGTCGAAATGAAACTAATTTATTAACAGAGAATTCAAGAAAATTATCATTTATTCCAATACCCAGACGAATTGTATAGTCTTTTTTTTACATAATATGATTTCTCTAATTATTCTGCATAATAAAAGTATTAAATAAAGTAATATATATCATGAAATATGAGAAGAATGTACACAGTTGCTTTAAAAAAATATGTGGGCAAATTATGGATAATTTTTTAAATAATCAACTATGTATTTTCTACACCTATTGATTCATCTCATTATTTTGTTAAAAAATAATAAAAGTATTATGATTACTAAAAAATTAACATTTTATGAGATATTTAATATTTCGTGTGGTAAAATGAAATATAAAATATCTCATAAACTATTGATTTTTTGATGTTTATATCTTAATATTTTTTATATGATTTCCTTGAAATCTTGGAAACACGTCCATCTAAAGATCTATAATCATCACGAATTATCCCCTTCGAAACAAAGTAAGTTCCACTTGAAACATTTGTTGAAATAGTTCAGGAGATAATTGCGTCTGAAGATTCGAAGTTTCAAATAGGACACTCTTTATGCAGCATTATGTGTTACATTGAATATTACCTGAGCTATACGACAGAGGGAAAGCGCTTCTTTCAACTTATTGTTTGATATGTGTTCGTGAAAACTGGTGAAGAGATTGTAAAACGATGAAGCTACAATAGCACCGTCTCCACGTCTCACCATAACCATACCATTACGAACACTCACGATGTTAGGCTGTTTTCCGAATTCGCTGTTTAAAAATATTTATAAACTGTTAAAATAAAATTATTTGAGGTACTGAAAGATTATATAAACAGATTAATTACGTAAATGGTATAATTAAGTATAATATTTTTATTATTAAGTATTTAAATATATAAGTAAAACGTCAATTAAACATATTTTAGAAACAATAACGTGTGTGTGTGTGTGTGTGTGTGTGTAAAAAGATTATAATCTAAAAATCGAATGCATATACGTATAGAAAGTTCGAAAGTCAAAAAATAAAAATGAATAAAGTAACCACATAAGATGAATCCCATCCAAAGAATGGACGCCCATTTGGTGTCCATTTCATGTCTTAATTATGTCCATAAAGAAAGGACGCTCAAAGGATATTCTTTGGGCATCCAGTGTATGTCCCAATTATCCCAGTTTCAAGATGTATTGTAGTTTTTATTATTCTGAACACAAATGTCTCAAAAAAATTGCCCTAACAAAAAATCAAAAAGTAAAATTAAAAATCAAATTTGCTATTCTAAAATTATAAAATTTGACTGTTTTCTATAAGAAACGTGCGGTATTCTTTAATACTATACACTATAAATACATCATTAAACAAGATATTCATGAACCTGCTTTCCTTATCAATTCTTGTACGTCGTATTACTTTGCGATCACTGTAGTGAACACAGTTGGGACATAGCCATACTGACAGATTCGCATCCAACATTGCAGCTAATATATTTGCATCAGTTGCCCATACAATATTTTGTGCCATTCCAGCTAGAATATATAATTAATTAAGATGTCTAATGAATTACTAATTTTAGTGAATGAATTAGTAATTACAGAGTTGTTTCAAGACTTCTAAGACAAATTTTAGAAGGTGACAGATTACCTACTTAAAAAAACCAACTTTTATTTAAGAATCTGTGTCCTATACATTTTTAAGGAACGCCTCTGATCGCGCATCTAACAATACTATATATAATTCACGTTTTTTTATTTTATTTTTTGTAAAAAGATAATAAATAAAAACGTGAATTAATAATCATAGACGTCACGCGCAATGCTACTTCGCGATAGGTTGCGTACCTCACAGACAATCTGAACAAGAATGCAATGCTCCTTAAAAATGTTCCTTAAAAACATCAGAGAACACAACTTCCTTAATAAAAGTTGATTCTTTGGTGAGATTTACTATAACCCTTAAGGGGACATTCCAATGTGACGGGTTGAAAAAATCGATTTTTTTTTTGCATTTTTCGATAGCTTTTATCCATAGAATTGATATCCCACAGTTGGTTTAGGTGATTCCTGCCGTTGACCGGTTATAACCTCCAAATGAGAGGCTCAAACTGCGCGCGCTCGGGTTTCGGAGCAGGTATACGGATTAAACATCCATGCAGCTGTGTTGTTTTATACCTGCGTCTATACTCACATGTATACAATAGAGGCTAAAGATGACTCTACGACCAGGAGGAAGGAACTATGTATGGTCCTGGCATTGCTGATTAGCCGAAAAGGTATGATTTCTATGATTTTTCATCTTGAAAACTTATGCGTTTTTCTCAAAACGACATTTTTGCACCTGGCGCAGGTGATTTCTCAAAAACGACCGGGCGTATCGACTTCAAATTTTAACACGATATTCAGCACTATCATGGCTATCGTCCGAACCTCCAACTTGTTGATATTTTGATTTTTACTTATAATTTCACCTGATTCATGACGAAAAAAAAACGTGCTTTTTTTTACACTTTTGCAAGAAACGCCGCCATTTTGTTAATTTTCGATGAAATAAAAAAGTGGAGGTTCGGACGATAGGGGCGATGACAAAGATTAAGAAACTTCTTTGATTTTTTGTTTCAGATCACCAGGAGGGCCTGGATCACCTGCGCCAGAAGAAAACTTTTTTTTTATATGTATAGTTATATTATATTTTAATTAAATAAATAAATATTTTTCATGACCAAAAAAAAATTTTTTCCACTCCCCTTGATCATACCTTTAAGGGAAAAAAAAATTTGTCCAATTATATTCAATAGTTCATGAGGAAAAAATTATTGAAAATATACTTTTTTTTTGACGTTCACATTGGAATGTCCTCTTAAAGTTTATTCCAAAAGTCTTGAAACACTCTGCACATTGTTAAATCTATAGTGTTAAATTTAATCTAATTTGAGTTGCCACTGTTCCTACTCAATATATCATTATTTTATAAAACTCAATGAAGCTGAATAGTTTAAAACAGTTCAAATTGGTTAAAATTGATACTAAGTAAAACTTGACTCAATTTGAGCTGTTTTAAAATGTTAACGTCACTGGTTTAGTATAAAATATTATATTGAGTAGGAGTAGTGACGATTTAAATTAAGTTAAATTTGACATCATAGATTTAACAGAGTGCAGGTCCTTGTATATGCGGTCCACACTCCTTTTCATCTCGTATTGATGATATTAATACGATGATGACAATAAATTGACAGAGATAGATTTAATAAACATAACATTGCATTGACGGTTGACGTGTTAACATGCTGTCATTTGATCAGTGCAAACGTCGAAAGTTGACCACGCCGCGCATGACCGAAAAGATAATAGTTACCAGCATAGCTTTAAATCAAAAGAACTTGTATAATTTGTAAAATAATTTTATTGTGTCATGCATTTTGTATTCATTAGATTGGACGCGACAACTTTTACTATATTAAAGTATTTACTATATCGTGCAAAAATTACGCCTATCTTTCCGTTTTCTAATGTAGATAATTTTTCTAATTGTAAGTGGTCACTGTGCTTATAGTAGAGTTTAGTTAACTTATTAATATATTATATTTATTAAATCTATTTTTGTTTACGAGACAAAAAGTGTATATGGCCATTTATATGGAGATACCCTGTTTATGATATATGTACAGTGTCCTATTTTATCTACTTAAGGATCTACTCAGAGTATTAAATCTAAAAATGTTTCAGAAAAGTTTTGTGATTTTAAGAATATGAAATAGGATCATTGGTGGAATTTCCGGGCGAAAATAAAAATAAATCCAAGGGGAGAGTAACAGAAGTGAAACTTCTAGGAGGCGAAAATTGAAATAAAATGTAAAAGAGACGTTTACGCTTCTTTTACATTTCGTTGTTTCAATAAGTTTCATTTACTTATGCTTCTGTTACTTTCTCATTACATTCGACTTACGCTCTGATTTTTATTTTCACTAGGGTTGTCAAGATTGTCAGGGCAAAGTTACTTTGAATTTTTTTAAATGGGACTTGCCATTTATTTATTGCATATTCTTGTAGATTCGACAGCTTCTCAAAATATTACTATAATAAAAACTATAATAAAATATTTTTTATTAGTATTTTTTGTGTTATACAACGGCTTGAAAGTTATAGTACCGTCGGCATTAGCATTATCCAAGGTGTTCAACCAACGGCTAAAATCTCTTAAATGTTGCTCAGAGTCATGACCTTGATAACATTTATTAACATCAAGGCAACATTGGAAGTTGTTTCTTTAATTTTTGTTTTTACATAAAAATGAAAATAAAAGGAACTTCTATCTTACTGACCTTGATCTTAATGTGCTCAAATGTTATCAAGATCGAAATAATGATCCTGAACAACATTTAAGAGATTTTAGTTGTCGTTCGTACATCTTGAATAATGCTAATGCTGGCGGTAGTACTTTTAAATTTTATAACTCGAAAAGTATTTAATGAAAAAATATTTTATTATAGCGTTTTAAGAAGCTCTTGAGATAAGTTATAAGAATATGTAATAAACAAAAGAGAAAATTTTATTTAAAAAATTCTAATTGTAAGTTAAATGGACCTTTCACTATATCTTGACAACACTACCCAAAGTCAAATCAATGGTATCATCTTATATTCCCCTCGAAGTCACAAAACTTTTGTCTGAAACATTTTTTCGATGTAACGTAGTGTTTCCGAGATATTAGAGTAAATATTTTAAAATCATACACCCTGTATATCTGCATATATAATTACATACCTATTTTACAAATTCTTCCAAAGCCTATAGTTTTTATTGCAATTAAAAATAAATCTTTATTGACATCTATTAATGCCAATTGTCGATCTTTTATATCACCACAATAATTTAAGGCCACTTGTGTCACATTGTGCAGATGTAAATGCGATTGACCTTCTATTATCGGCTTGTTGTGAGGTATTTCCAAAATATGGAGCACTAAAAAATAAATTCGAGAAAAACAAAAAATATTAAAATTGTTCAAGAATGTTATACTTTTTGATGACATTAAATTATGATAAATATGTCGATAAAGAGAGGCAGTCCTGGTGTCGCCCGGAGTCGTCGGCTGCGCCAATTTTATTCGGACTGGTCGCAATCGAAAATTACCGATGACATTATATAATAAAAATGTTTTTAGATTTTTTCATTGCAGTTTTAGTTTCTGAGTAATTTTAATCTAAAGTTTGTTGATGTCAAAACACCAGATAAAGCTAGTGGTCGCGAATTTGGTAACGGCACGAATATATACGCAATGACGTTCACACATCAAGCGGTTCGTTTTGTATTTTTATGCACTTGGCGTCGTGATGCTACCGCGTCCCTTGATTCTCGCTGACTGAATTAGAGTTATAGCCGTCTATGACTGAATTAGAGTTATAGCCGTATAGTTAATGGCTTATTGTAGAATGCGTGTAAGGGAAGTAAGGGAAGTAATGCGGGGTCTACAATAGAAGTCGTAGCGGTCGTAGGGTCTTAAGTCATAGAAAATTGACTAATCACAGTTGATTATTCTTCTTATATTCGACTGTGATTGGTCAATTTTCTACGACTTAAGACCCTACGACCGCTACGACTTCTATTGTAGACCCCGCATAAGGCTTTCTAAAGCTTAAGGGAATCCTAAACCAATAGGAAATACTGACAATTGCAGATCGCCAAATTTTCCGAATTGGCTTTATAGATTACCAAATCCTTTTACACAATAAAAGTATACACCAAAAAAGAGTTTACCGGTTAACTAAATTTGACGAGAAAATCGGAGAAAAAATTAAAAATCACTTTATTTCAGCTCTTACAACTGTCACCTTAGGTTATAATTCCCTTAGTGCAGGAATTATGTAGATCGTACGTACCAAATGATACTTTCCCCGGAAGCGTATGACGTGCACAAACAATCCTGAGCTTGTGAAATTGTGATCGAAGGCCTAACAAAAAAGATTTTTCAAACTTTCGCTTCACGTATTTGGTACAGATAAACAACGGCAAACAGCACGAAAATTGTGTATCAAGTATGTGACAGGTATTGCGAGAGATGGTGCTAGAATGTTATATAAGGACAGACTTATGCGTTTGGATGAGACAGAACGATATATAGGGTGTCTCAAAAAAACGGATCGAAACACAATGGGGACGTAGATTGGATCAAGGGGAACAAAACAGTTTTGTACCATTTTGCAGTTGACGCAATATTTAACGAGATATTAACATTTAAAGATAGGCGAATACAAGCGTCCGACCAGCCTACTGCTCATGTACTGCTGCCGGCAGGACGGCCTACCATCCCCACCGATCGCATGACGCGCCGGCCGGGCGGCGCGGGCGGGCCGCGAGGTGCGGGGATGGCCTGGCAAGCGAGCCACTCAGAACGGCGCGCATGGGGAGGAGAAGGATAGCGCTTGAGCAGTAGGCTGGTCGGACGCTTGTATTCGCCTATCTTTAAACGTTAATATCTCGTTAAATATTGCGTCAACTGCAAAATGGTACAAAACTGTTTTGTTCCCCTTGATCCAATCTACGTCCCCATTGTGTTTCGATCCGTTTTTTTGAGACACCCTGTATAATATAATGTAAGAAATGAATCAAAGATGTCACTATTATCGAATTTGGAATTAAGGGGATGCTGGAGTGGCCGAACTGTCGGAATTTTGCAGTTCGATATAAATCTCCGAATTTACTGAACAGAATCAAAAATCCTTTTACAAGATTAACGTACACGCAAAATTTGGGAGTGCTGCAATGGATTTTATACTAAAATCGGGAAAAAAAAGTTAAAAACTTACATTTTTTCAACTCGTAGAGCTGTCACCTGACGTAGATGTTTCCTTAATACAAAAGTTTTATAGCTCGTATGGATCAAACGATAGTGCAGCACTCAGCGCATTACGTGCTGCACAAACAATACTGAGTTTATGAAACTAAAATTAAAAGAAAGATTTATATCGATCTGCAAATTACGTATATACGAACGCTGAGCGAAGACTCGGAATGATAAACCAGGGCTAGATCATTCTTATGGGCCTTTCGTTAACCGTGTTTGCAGCGCCAACTATCTTGCCACAGAGCGGATTGGCGAACTAAAAGTGTCCGCCATTTGTAATTTCATTGAATTCCATATATTTTACCACATTTCACGCGAAAACGTATCCAATTCAGTGTGCCATTGTATTTTTATCAAAATTTAAGGTGAGCGAACGTTCTTAACAGTTAATCTTAAAACATTCATTTTTTACCTTTAAAACATGCGAGCCTGTTGCGTCTCTGGATGCAAATCCAGCGGAAACGTGCCATCTCATCAATTTCCAAAAAATGTCAAACGTCGCATTGACTGGTTACAACGTTTAAGACTAACAGAAGAAAATGAAAATATAATAAACAAACTACGTGTGTGTTACAAACATTTTAAAAACACTGATTACAGCTGTTGCATAAATAAGAGACGCTTAGTGGACACAGCTATTCCATCAATTGATATCGACATGTTTGAGATCCAAAGATGCGTGGATACCACAAAATCATCTCAACAAGAAATACAAATGTCTCAACCAGAATGTGTGGAAATAATAAGAGCATTTCAACAACAGAAAATAGATATGTCCCGACAAGAATGTGTGGAAACAATAAAATCATCTCAACATCATGAAACAATACAAATGTCTAAACAAGAAACAGTAACTATATCACAATCAGAAGAAAATACAATTGAAATTTATTACTATTACTATATGAAAACTTAATATATATTTTTTTAATATAATAAAAACAATAAAACTTAAATAATCTTATTTATTAAATCCTATCACACATAAATTATAATATAAATATGAAAAGCCACAGAGTATATTTTGAATCAGACAGGTCAGGCGCCATATTGGTTTTTAGTTCCTTATAGGACCTGTGGTAAGGTATCTCAACATCATGAAACAATACAAATGTCTAAACAAGAAACAGTAACTATATCACAATCAGAAGAAAATACAATTGAAATTTATTACTATTACTATATGAAAACTTAATATATATTTTTTTAATATAATAAAAACAATAAAACTTAAATAATCTTATTTATTAAATCCTATCACACATAAATTATAATATAAATATGAAAAGCCACAGAGTATATTTTGAATCAGACAGGTCAGGCGCCATATTGGTTTTTAGTTCCTTATAGGACCTGTGGTAAGGTAGGCGGAGCTGCAAACACGGGTAATACAAAATACATGGAAGACGATCAGCCCTGTGAAAACAAAGCAATAATTGTGTCTAGCAGTAGGTGTTCGATCTTCTAAGAGATGGCGTTGCAATATGTTAGATAAGGATGCAATATGTTAGATGAATGCGTTTGAGCGAGACACAACATATAATAAGTATAAGAAATGAATGAAAGATGTCACTATTATTGAATTTAGAATTTAAAAAGGTCTGTACTATCGACCTCGATCAAGTTCGGCCGTCGATTCAGCATTCCTTTAAAAGTCTGCACTATTGACCTCGATCAAGTTCGGCCTTTGGTTTAGGATCCCCTTAAGTATTCTCTATTGTGTATTCCTACAACTTAAGTATATCTCTATTATTGTGTACAATCATAGACCTTATTTTGCCCTATAAGCAGGAAGGTAGATCTCACTCCGCGTGGTAAATTCCACATGAGTTTATAATTTTCCACGGAAAGCGAGATCGTCTCAATTTGGATATATCCGATGCGTTCTATCAATACAGACATCTCAATTATATTTGCTTGCTGACTAAAAGTATTGAATACTTTACCGCTTAACGTTCATAACTCATTTTTTCATACACAATATATGCATCTCGATAAAATACGAATGTACAAATACAAGAGATGAAACAATAAACTATATTGGTTACAGCGCATAAATATGTTAATGTTGAAAGTATACGCGATACCACTTATTATTATGAAAAAGCCTTTTAATACATTTTATGGTAAATATTAAGAAAAGGGGAGCCACCTCTGATGACCTTGACCTTGACATATGTTGTCGTGACCTTGAGTGACCTCCACCAGGTTTTAGCCGTCGGTCGTCATTCGTTAAAAAGTTATTAATAGTCAAAGTCAGTAATTATTTCACTACTTTACATGAAAAGTCAGACAACTCTGGGCAGCAAGAAAAGTATCGAGTGAACTGATCAAGGAAATATGACTTCCCCCTCCCCGGCTCTCACCCCACAACTCTCACCCCCCTCTTACCCCTGCAAAGAGATGCCCGACTCTCACCCTCGACTTTCACCTCCTCTTCCCCCCTGCAAAGGAGCGCTCGACTCTCACCCTCGACTCTCACCCCTCTTGCCCCCTGCAAAGGGGCTCACGACTCACTTTCGATTCTCACTCCCCCCTCACCCCTGTAAAGGGGCACTTGACTCTCATCTTCGACTCTCACCTCCCCCCCTGCAAACGGGAACACGCCCTTTTATGTCTCTTTAAAAAGAAACGTACCAAATAAAGATTAGAGTAAATAATTTGTTTATTAGTAACGAATAGTTATTTTTGTAGCATTATTATAGAATAAATTATTCATCGATCGCGATATACTGAAAAGAAACGAGCCATAATATAAAAAAATACATCAATACGTTCTTGTAGAGGATAATATCGTTTGTCTTACGTACTTAATAAAAAGTATTGCTTAACGTAAGATACATGTAAAATATAAACTACTAAGACGAAAAACGTTAATTGATTGGAGAATATTGATTGAGAATATTGATTTGAGAATATTGATAATTGATATTGTATAATTGTATTATTCCACATAGATTTTTCAATTCCACTAAACATTTTATTCAACATTATTATTAATAGGATACATTTCACTGCGCCTCTTTACAGGGCGTGAGAATGAGAGTCAAAAGTGAGAGTCGGACATCCCTTTGCAGGGGGGAGGGGGGTGAGAGTCGAAGGTCAGAGTTATCTGACTTTTCATGTAAAGCAGTGAAATAATTACTAACTTTAACTGTTAATAACTTTTTAACGAATGACGACTGACAGCTAAAACCTGGTGGAGGTCACTCACGATCTTGACAACATATGTCAAGGTCATCGGGTGGCTCCTCTTTTCTTAACATTTACCCATTTTATTATAAATCTTACGTTTTTCATTGTTTTGATTCCTTATAACCAAAGTATCAGCACATAATGATATGCAAATAGGATGAAGTGGTTCTGAAGAAAAACCTTTCCATCTTGGACTACCCAGTAAACGGCCTTGGTAACTGTACAATGATACAGTATTCCATTCCACTATTAAGAAATGCCTATAAAAGAATTATATTATATAATTACAAATTATTTTAGTGCCAATATACCGGAAGTCTTATTTTTTAAAACATTTGAGTTTTTTCTTTACAATTTATATTTATGTTGACATTTTGTGTATAAAAGTATTAAGATACAATAACTAAAAAATAATTAGTTTACAAGATATTTCATATTTCAACATACTATGTATGCTAGAATAAAATAACTCAAAAATAATTTTTCGATATCTCCATCTGTCTTATACGCAAAATTTTTAATATGCAGAATAATTAGAGAAACCATACGTAAAAAATTAGATCGAAACATCATATAGTTCCATTCAAAAAGCTAGCGTTAATATCAAGTAATATGGTTTATAATAAACACTAAAATCTTTTTTTATTTTAATTATTGCTGAATGGCTGACCATTTACATCTAATATCTTACATATGCACGCAAAAGACTTCCCCTTACATATGCATGCAAAAGACAAATCCTCCTAACATTAAAATTTAGACGATAGCAGTTTTCATCTGAGAGATGGATTCTTCTTATTAAATAAAAGTGTCACTTTATATTTTATTTCAAATCTTATATAGAAATAGAGATAAATGAGAAATTTTTATCAAGTATAAAAATGAATCTCTAATTAGTTTCAAAAAACTTTAATATTTATAAGATATATCATCTTTTATTTTATTATATTATATTGAATATACATTTAATAACTTACTTTTCTGCAAGAAGTACAGCAGAGATAGTACTTGTCTTTAAATTAAATATTGCTGGTGTATTCCAATTTGTGACAGCGTACACATGGCATTGAGCAGGTGTGATGACGACTAAATGATCGAAGCCAAATTCGAGATGTACAACACGATCAGAGATTTCTAATACTTCACGAAATTCGTTGCCGACTTCTCTGACCTCGATTATTTTCCTTCTTATCAATGTTGCTTCATAATTATCCCATTCTAATTTCCTATAATTATATCAAAAACTTGTATAAATATACATACGTTTTTATTTTAATAGATGATAATATAATAGTACTTAAAATATAATCAACAAGAATTCTACTGGAATGTACACGTGAAAACCAGGGTTGTTAACGTTACATAAAAAAGTAACGAAGTTACTGGTTTCGTTACTTTTTTTAACGAATGAGTAACGTAATTACTTTTTCTAGCGAGTAACAGTAACGGTAATTAAGTTACAATTTTCAGTAACGAGTAACGAAATTTTACGTTACTTTTCTCGTTATTCCGTTGATATAAAGTTAGGGTGAAATCACACGGTGCGGAAAAGGACTGTGGAATCGAGAATGCGTCATTGAAGCAACCAATGAGCGCTATTCCGCACTTTTCCATCAAGTTTTGTGTGCTAGTTCACATGATGCGTCAAAGATGCATCCAGGATGAATATTTAAAAGAAAGACTTTTTAATATTGGTAGACTCGTTTTGTCGAATCTTCGACACCGCCTAACAGACGGACATTTTAAATAACAATTGTTATTAAAGAAAAATTTAAGATTCAGGGAAATAAATCCATCATAATTTAAAGTTAAAAAATATTCTGCTATTTCTAATGTAAATTAATATGTATCAAAAGTATCAAAACCAAATAAAGAACTCATAAAATAAAAAATAAAATAAAGCTAATAAAAAATAAAATAAAATAAAACTATAAATTAAAAAACGATTTATTTTCTTATGTAACTATATTTATATAAATATAATTATTTTTTGAAAAGTAATGAAAAAAGTAACGGTTTTTTTCGTTACTTTTAGGTAACGATAAGGCGTTCCTTTTACAATCGGTAACGAGTAACGTATTACTTTTTACCGCAAGTAACGGTTATAACACGTTATTTAAAAACGGTAACGTTAACAATTCTGAAAACACAACCAATAGGAAATAGGAAATAACGGCCTATAACGGTTGAACCTGGATTTTGGTAAATATTTAGAAAAGAGGAGCCACCTCCAATGATCTTGACTTTGACATATGTTGTCAAAGTCATGACCCTGAGTGACCTTCAGCAAGTTTTAGGTGGCGGTCGCTGTTCGTTAAAAAGTTATAAACAAAAAAAATTTAAGAAATAACGTCACATTTCACCTTTCAAAATAAAATTTTTGTAGGTAAATATTGAAAACAACGAACCAACTTTCAATGACCTTAATCTTATTATACGAGGATCGTCTGAAAAGTTTCGAGCCTAACATAGAAACAAGTAATTTTTCGGTCAAATTCAATTTTATTTTTCCACATAGTCTCCTTTTAAGTCGATACATTTTTTCCAACGATGCTCCCACCCCTTTAATCCATTCAAATAATACTGAGCGTCTTGCTTTGCAAAATAGGCGTCTACGAATGCGATGACCTCGTTCGATGAAAATTTCTGTCCTCCGAGCCAAACTTTGAGCCTAGGAAACAGAAAAAAGTCGCTGGGGGCCAGATCTGGTGAATACGGTGGATGGTCAATTAATTCGAACCGCAATTCGTGAATTTTTGCCATAGCGACCGCCGAAATGTGAGACGGTGCGTTATCTTGATGGAACAGCACTTTCTTCTTTTTCAAATGCGGTCGTTTTTTCTCAATTTCTGCCTTCAGCTTGTCAAGCAATGATGCGTAGTACGTCCCTGTTATTTTACCTTTTTCAAGATAGTCGATCAACACAATTCCATGACTGTCCCAAAAAACAGTCGCCATCGCCTTTCCCGTCGATAAAACCGTCTTCGCTTTCTTCGGAGCAGGTTCACCCTTCACAGTCCACTGTTTTGATTGTTCTTTCGTTTCAGGAGTGAAGTGGTGGATTTAAGTTTCATCAACCATTATTAATCGACGCAAAAAATCCGATTCGTTTCGCTTAAACCGTTCCAACAAGGTCTTAGAAATGTTCATTCGAATGCGTTTTTGATCCAGAGTGAGCAAGCGCGGCACCCAACGCGCGATTAACTTACGCATGCCTAATTCTTCAGTCAATATATGACAAACACGTTCTTTTGATATGCCAACAGCCTCTGCTATCTCCCTAACCTTAATTCGACGGTTGTCCATTATCATTTGACGATTGTCCATTATCTTCGATTGTTCAGTTACGAACATTAAGAAGGAATTCGGCCAGCGAGATGCAAGCTGATGACATAGGAAAGATGGCGGCAAATAATAATCTATAATATTTACTATAATTTATTCTATTGAGATAATCAAAATTTCTGTATAAATAAAGTTTAAGGTAAATAGAACCAGGCGGAAAGAATTCTCAGAGTCGTGGTTTCCTTTCTCCATCGCCAATAGTTTTACGATGTTAAGCATCCTCCCGTTTGGTCACAATGATTTTCCTGCAAGCAAATCACACAAGAACAAGAGGGGAGGGGTTGTAAGTCCCGATTCCTCGTCGATCAATTTTGGTAACAGCTAATTTACTGAATTCGGGCCGCTGCTTGAGCCGCATCTCAAGCCCCGCTTATAAGTGCGAGGAGCACGACCAGCTACATTGTTAGGAGTTCAAGTTTGGTTCGTTCTCGCATATAAGCACTGCCTGAGCCGCTCGTCAGACATCGTAGTAATGGCGCCTGCTAAGCACCGCCTGAGAACCTTCGTCAGGCATGATATAAGCAAGGCATCACATTTGATGCTTGCGCGAACGCTTTGAGCGTTCGAAGGTAATCCGAGCCAATTCATCAGATTCGCACAGGCGGGAGCAACCCGCCGCCTGAGATTTAACGTCAGGCACATGAGAGAAAGAAAACGGGGGTTCACATTTAAGAAGGATGCTTCAGGCGACATTCCGACTTGGTGTTACATAACCCTTGATAATGGAAGGCCTTCCATACTCACGATATTTGGACTGCCCTCGATATATCTTTCTTCAATATTACTGAAGTTCTCTGACTCAATTACGATGCCACAGCGCACATACCAACACCACAACGGTTTCCTTTAATTGACTTTTAGCAGAGAAAGCCTTTCACTCGCAATAATAACGGAAAAAACGTTGAGAGAGAGAGAGTTACCGAAGATCGCGCTCTGTCTTCGCGGCGGTTGCGCCAGCTGCGCCCTCGCGTTGCGCTACACTCAACTGACTCGGCCTTAGACAATTACGAGACAGTCTTGGATGCGAGATTAACCAGGCTACATTTGGTTACTGAACATCGATGTTATCGG